CAGAACATGAGTTTAAAATACTATAGGAGTATTTTGTAATATCATAACTTATATGAAAACTAAATAGATCCTTTAATAGGTCTATAGTCCCTAAGTGGATACTTTAAGGTTATATATAACTTAGAAATTATAGACTTAGAATTTGTGGTCATTACTTTACTTCCTTTTCCTTGTTTGGATGTGGACCTAGAGTGGGATCACTTATTCAAAGGTCTATCGTATCTTGTTATATGTAATTAGTATGCACTATGTCATTATAGAAGTAACTAATAAGGATTACCCCCTATAAATAATTGATAATAGAGTTAGACGCATAATACTTATCTCCTCCACTTCTATTCTCGCAAATACGGCATAGCAAAATCCTACTTACCAGACGACCCTTACTTTCCTAATCCGAACTCGAGGAATGGTGAATGATTATGAGAAGAATCATAAGCGGGACCGGAGGTAATCAATCCTCCATGCATAGCAAGGGTTCCGTGAACCGTTTCGACTATAACGAACCCGTGAACCGTTGGGCAATCGTGATCGAGGGTTGAATGTCGACAACAATGAAAACAACCACCATGTGGAGACCAACGAGGGTGCTATGACCTCAACCATGGGGGACTGACGGACAGAACCCTCTTCGGCAAGGACCCGGCGGATCGCGATCATCGGGGATTAAAACAAGAAGACTAAAATCTGAGTTCAGAAAACTGCGCACTACTATAAACCCCACCATCTCATGTACCGGTGACTCAGAATTATACTACTATTCCTGAGACCAACTCTCTTTTTAGGACCTTATCGCCACTCGTGAAGAGGAAAGAGAGTAACAGGGTAGGACACACATCATTCAAAGAAAGGATGATTGTAGCCAAGCGTTGATTGGCAAAGCTACAAAAATTGCATCGACCTTGCCTCAGGCATCACAAGGGATGGATCATCGTAAGTAGAGTTCATGCCGCTCACCAGACCTGGTAAATTAGCTTCATAAGTATGCGTTGGTGCTACTCTATTGTAAGTAAAATCACGACACTACAAACTAAATGGTCATACTAATCGAGAAAGCTATCTACTATCAAAACCCGCCCATGCACAAATGTGAAGTAGACCTGCATCGAGGTCAAAATTTTCACTAAAATCATGATTACTAAAGTCATATTAACAAGATGGGCTTAGGATGTACCTAACAGACTCGAAGGACTATCTAGCCTTAATTATATAACTAAGCATACATCAATAGGTCGTGATAAGGACTTAGCTTGGGTCAAGTATAAGGTTTCACTTGGATACAAAGCTACTAAAATACATGAGTTTATTATACAAAGAATCTCGTTATAAATTGTTTCTTAGAACACCCTAAACAACCGAACTTTGATACAAATCGATATGAGATAAACTTAGTTAGAAAACTCGCGACATACAGCCATTCTAAAAAAAAAAAAAACTCATTATCGTCTCACCTTTAAACATTTGTTGAGAAGTTTCTTCTTCATAGACCTATAGGGTGCGAACGTTCCAGCACTAATACACCGGATCCCATCAAAATTCCTCAGTCAAGTGTGTTCGGACAAACATGATTCTAAGAGAAGTAAAACTTAACGTCTATATGAAACCTACTCCTACCTACTGCCATAACTCCATCTCGGGAGCGTTAGCAGAAACACTAAGAATAGTACAGTAATGTGCAAAAATTTATATGCGTGAATATAAATTGTAAGGATGCACTTAAGACAATCATTCCCACTAACGAAGTCGTTTTTCAACATGAAACAGAACTATGTCTTCACCAAGAGGCAACAAAACCACTAGCAAGGCGCCAACACTGCAGATAGATGCTGCTACTTTTCAAGCTGCAGTCACGGCAGCCGTGGCAGCCGTCATGGTGCATTTCAATACTAACAACGTCAGCAAGGGTGGAAGAGGTACTAACAATACAAATTGTGGTAACAATCAGGGACACCAATGGGTACCTACCAACAAAAATACCTCAGGCCACGAACCTACGAACAAGAAGAGAAAGTTTTGGGACATGAAAGAGCGCCACCAATCTCAAGGATACACTAAAAGACAACAACCTAGGGCCGCCCCTACCATTACAACAGCAGTCATGACACATGCCTCGACACTAGCCACGCGGTCTGCCACCCAAATGCCTGCCAGACCATATGAGGGATCACTCCCAAAGTGCAACAAATGTGGCTTTCATCACCATAGGGCTTGCAGGGAGATGCACTGTAAAAGCTGCAACAGGAAAGGGCATACCATCCTTTTTGTAGGGCCTCGGCCCATCACCTCCCTTCAATCACCTGCACCAAGGTAGGCCCAGTATGCTACCTATGCGGTGAAACGGGACACTTCAAGAGAGAATGCCCAACTGAGAAGAACGACGAAGGAACAGGAGGAATGTGATGAACACACCAACAGGAGCAACAAGGGAACCATGTTAGGACTTTTGTAATGTTCCCAACGACAAAACGTTTAAGTACTATATGTTTGTAATGAATTTGGTACGCTTACTAAAGTAACCTTCCTTCTAAAAAGTAGCTAAAATATTTTCTCTCTCATACAAATCAAACCAAAGACATTCATATGTGACCTTAGGAGCATTACCTGTAAGTTGTGATGACCTTGTCCATACATCGGGGTTAATTTAAAATCAAAATACTTAAGTCTTGAAATAGATAATTCCATCATGACTCCGATTCCATGTCTAGTATTAGGGGTTGAGTGGGGTCACCCACCCGACGATTGCACGATATCAATTTACATACGACGATCATATACCGCTCGATCGTGAGGAGACCTGTCAGGAATCATGATATCAAGTATCATTACTAGCTATCGAAAACACACCCACTACCAGTGCTAGACACTGTGGTATGAATCATCTACAATAATCATAACATCAAACAAAACGGAACACACATAAAAGAAATACAGGACACTCTATCACTCTAGTGATCTCTTCCTTCGAATACAACTTATCTCATGTTATCTAAAAAGATAGTGTTGTCGTATTCCAATTTTGATTGATATTGCCCTCGTCTTCCTGATTAAACGACTACAAAAGGACCTTTCGCCTAACCCCCCGAATATCGAAACTATCGTCTCTCATAAACATCCAGCACAGACCTTTGGGTCATCTCTCGCTGTGGAACTCCAAAACACGCACCAAAGGAGTGTTATACTTCCCAAAGCCCTATCACAAGTATTTACAGGAGACCTTTCGGGAATGTCATGCATACAACAAACAAGGTTCAAGCAAGGAAGCTTGGGATGGATACAACCAAGTGCGAATCTTGCCATGAACTTCAGGCCAAGGTTGCCCAGAAGGACGAGTGAATGTCCTACCATCCAAAAAGGCGTAGTTGCGTAAACCAAACCCACACACTTCCTATCGAGCTACAAGAGCTGTCAGGTCAAACCTGTCGAACTACTCGACAATGAAATTGAAGAACCAAGCCTCTCACCTTGGAAAAACTCTGGTCTTATTCGTCAAATAGAAAAGCAAATTGCTCATAATTCCATCGATTTCAGAGGCCCCGACAACATCTCCAATAGAAACTTTTACTATCTGCCTCGCATAGACGAATAGGCCGACCAACCGCAACGAACGAAGTACCCTTCAGGAATTGGACCTGAGATCTGAATATCACCAGTCATGAGTATTGAAGAAGGATGTCCGAGAACAATCCTCCAATTTCGATGAAGATGTTGAAAGTTCGTAGTGATAACCCTCGGATAGGACCAGACCCACTCGTTGGATTCATGAACGTAATAAATAGGATATACCATTCTTGCTAGGATCAGTTCATCATCGTCATTACAAATGACTTACTTATCTACCCTCGTAGTAAGAAGGAAACCAAGGAGAACAGCTACAACAAACCACGGAAGCAATACGATCAGAGAAGTATTACCCGAAGTTCTCTAGATACGAGTTTTGGAATTGAGGAGTTCAATTCTCAAGACACATCGTTACCAAGGTGGAAATTCATAAGGACCCTATCAATTGATCAAAACCGTTGAGAAACAGTCAGCACCGAAGGCGTTAGCAGAAATACGCCAAAATTCTGGATCTCGCTGATCTACCGTCTTAGTTCCTTTGGAACTTCTCGAAAAATACGGACCCCCTCCCAACTTTGACCCTAAAGGGAGCAACCCTTGACAGGAAGAGAAGCAAGAGGAAGAAACCTTTAGAACTCCAGTATAACCGACCAAATTCCTCTAGAAACACTCACTCTGGGAAGGCTTAGTACGCTTCGGAAAGCATGGGAAAGCCAATACCCCAAATAATTGTGTCTTTCGAGATTCTTGTCAGAATCAGCCCTGTAACTCGCTACTTCAATCTACCCCTGCGAGCTTGGTAAAGTACACTCTACCCAACACGTCCCAAATTTACAAGAAGAATCTATCCGGCGAGACTCTTGCAATTCCCCTTGACGAGATCGAGTTCCACAAGAGCCTCACCTTCTTGGAAGAACCATGGTGACCATGGACCGAGGTCAAGCGGATGAAACAACGCCACTTCCCATTAGTGAAAGTTCGTTGGAAATACTAACCA